AAAAAAAAACTTGCCCGGGCAATTTTTTGTTTGTTTGTTTCTTTGGTAGTGTTGGATAATCGCCAAAGCAGCAATGAAAACAATGCTACCCGCGAAGAAAAGTTGATTAATATGGCGAGAAAGAAAGCGTATATGAAAGAGAAACAAATAATCCCTTATACCTATTTGTGCGTATTGGGTGCCTTCTTTTTTTCTTTCCTTCTTGCTGTGGCTGTGTCTTCACTTGTTAAATTTTCTTGAGTGCTGCTTTTTTTTTTCCTCTTATTCCTTTGCCGCACACATGACAGTATAATGAGTTCAAGGAGTGAGTTCTTGAAGCTAGGTAGCATTCGGGAAACTATAAATATTGAGCTCTCTTCTCTTTTAGGGGGTCTCGACTCTGGTTCGACTTCCACCAAGGTACTGTATGTCGCTCCTCACCTTTTATCAACATTTGAGGCGATTGGTTTGTCCAAGGAGCTTTTCTCATCAGACCATGGTGTGATAGGCGTATTTCCTTATGAGGTAGAAGTCGTTTTTGTGCCTACACAGCATGCTGTTTTTATTCTCAATCCAGATGTGGAAAACATCCAATCGTTAGTGGCGAATATACTTTCCAATGCAAAAAAACACGCGAAGACGTTGATACATGTTTTCTTTGTCCCGCGTAAGCCCCTCATGATCGAACATGCACTCGAAAAAGAATATCAGCTTTTGAGAACTGTGCCCGGATTAAGCTTTGGGGAATTTGACTTGGATCTGATACCATTAGAAGATGACCTACTTTCTATGCAACAACCTTTGGCCTTGAAGCATTTAATTGCTGATGGAGATATTACACTGCTCCAATGGATCGCAAGAATGATATTGAAGCTTCAAACCTCACGTTTTGGGGCAATTTCCCTGATTAGAGGTAAAGGAACGAGAGCTACAAAAGTGATACAAATGCTTCATCGAATGCAGAGTGAGGTGGGGTCTGAATTCCTCACATATCTTACTCCTGAGATTGATTCTTTGTTTGTTTTGGATAGGGCGTTAGATTTGGTAACGCCACTTCTAACCCAATTGACGTATGAGGGACTTATCGATGAGTTTTATAACATAGATGCTGGTTATGTAAAGTTTCCATTTAATTTGGGCGAGGGTGCAAAGCTTGAATCAGGGCAGCGGGTCTTTTTGAACCATACTGATAAAGTTTATGGCGAAATCCGTGACAAGAATTTTACAAACGTTGGGTCGACACTTTACAATAAATCTGTTTTAGTAAAAAGGAGCTACGAACGTAGAAAGGAAGTTCAAGAACTTAAAGAGCTGAAAGAATTTATGAAGGGATTACCCGAGATGCAGGAAATGCATCGTTTAATAGGCATGCATACTGCCGTAGCCACGGAGATAGGAAAGCAAACACAAAGTATTGAGTTTCGAAGACGTATAGCAATGGAACAGAGTATTATTCAACAAGTGAATGAACGTGAGGTAATAGACTATATAGAGGAACTCATTAATAAGACTGCGCCCATTGCAGATGTTTTTCGACTTATTTGCATCTATTCACTTGTAAATGGTGGACTTAAAAGCAAATTATATGACTTCTTTAAGGAGAATATTATGCTGTCTTATGGTATTCCACAAGGTTTGGCGGCCTTTTTTGCTTTGGAGCGTAGTGGTTTACTCACAAAACAGGACGGCAAACAACCCAACTTTGCTACTATTCGCAAACAACTGAGGTTATGGTATGATGCATTGCAAGAACAACAACCAAATGATATATCATACGTATACAGCGGGTATGCGTCTTTGTCGGTGCGGTTGTTGGAGTCTATGATTAGTCACCCTGAGAATTGGAATACATCATCGGACGTTACCGACTTAATTCCAGGTGAAAAGTCGGAAATTCGTAATGAGGTGGAACTTCCAGCGGGTACTCCAATAACGATGGTATTTGTTATTGGGGGTATTACGTATGCTGAAATTAGTGCTCTGCGTTATCTACAAACAAAATTGGCGGACGCTGGTAAAGCAAGGCGCATTTTAATAGCATCAACACACATAACGAACGGCAAACAAATGATAGGTTCTTTATTACCCTTTTATGTGGAGGAATAATTATGTTCAAAGAAGAAGGATAAGGAGAAGAAGAAAAAGAAAAATAAAGACCATTTCAAGAGTTTTGCTGGTAGGCAGTGGCATTTTCTCTGCATCTAAACGTCGTTGGCATCCTTGTTTCTTTTCCTTCTTTCCTTTTGAATTATTGTTGCGGAACAAGAGGAAAAGGCTGGGAAGGGGAGGGGGAAAAAAGATGTCGGAGGCGCCTAAGCGTTGCTACTATGAGGTGCTTGAAGTGGACCGAAAAGCGTCACTGGACGAAATTCGTCGTGCGTACAAGCAGCAGGCTCTTATGCATCACCCAGACAAAAATTATGGCAATGTGGAAAATACAGTTGCCGTATTTAAAGAGATCCAGAATGCATATTCAGTCCTTAGTGATCCAGAAGAGCGTGCATGGTATGACGCCCACCGGGAAAGCATTTTGAATGGAGGCGAAGCTGAAGATTCTGCAAACGATATTAATCTATATGGTTATTTTACTTCCAGATGCTATGACGGCTTTGGTGATGATGATGATGGATTTTTTAGTGTGTATCGGCGGGTATTTGATCAATTGCTGGAGGATGAAAGCGAGTATGATGCTAGGGCCAAAGCTTGGCCTCGCTTTGGTGAGAGTTCGACGGATTGGAATAGTGTCTCAGAGTTTTACTCTTATTGGAAGAATTTTGCTTCTTTCAAGAACTTTGCGTGGAAGGATGAATACAAGATAAACGAAATTCCTGATCGGGCCTCCAGACGAATGGCTGAGCGGATTAACCAAAAGGCTAGAGCAGCCGCCAAAAAGGACTACATACAAACTGTGCAAAGTCTTGCGCGATTTGTGTACCGTCGTGACCCGCGAGTTGAGGCTGAGATGAAGCGACAAGAGGAAGAAGAGCGCCGAATAGAAGAAGAAAAAGAGCAGAAGCGTTTGGAGCAAGCACGGAGACGACGTGAAGCGAATGAAAAGCTTTGGGCAGCTGCAGCAGAGAAAGAAGAGGAGGAAGAACGGGCTCGACTCGACAGAGGGGAAGCTACGGGCGACCATACTTTGGAGTTGCTTTACGAAAAACAACGCCAAGTGGAGGAGATGCGAAAGGCGAAGGGCGGCAATAGCAAAGGATTTGCAATGCTGGAGGGCGATGATGAAGACGAGAACGGAGTAACAAAGTTTAACTGTCCCGCATGCAAGAAACAGTTTAAGAAGAGTGGACAGTACAAGGAACATATAAACAGCAGTAAACATAAGGCGAAGGTGAAGCAGCTATCCGGAAAGGGGGTGGACGTTGAGGCACTTATGAAAGAGAGTCAGTAAACTCTAATTTTACGGTTAAGGCGCCTTGAAAAGGCGGTACGACACAATTCACACACACCTGCATAGACACCCCAAAGCAACAAGAAAAATAATTTTTGGTTGTTTCATGGATTTCCTATAATTATTTTTTTTTGTTTTGGCATGAATATATATATATATATTCACTCACTTTCTCTTTGTCCTCCTCTCTGCCAAGGAATAGTTGTTTTCTTCATCCTTTTTGCCGAATTCTTTTTTTTTTCTTTCCCTTTTCTTTTTCCTGTTCTGTTTTGTGTGGGGAACAATTGGCGTGTCGGAACACAGCGAAAAAATTTTTTCTAGATACCCTCTATGCGCAGGTATTTGCGTTTCCCCCTGAGGTCAGTTTTGCCCTCACGGAGAAGGCGCCAGAATGCGCTCTGCTTCTTCGAACGTTTCTGTGGCGAAAAACACGGAGAGAATGCGCCTGCATCAAATCTGCTTGGGGCTGTGGCTAGAGAGACGCCGTCAGCGCAACTGGATGCGTACGAACAGCTCAAGAAACAGATTCGAGGGCTATCCGAGGCCGATCAACGGCTCATCCTTGACGCAATACAACACCCTGAGCAACAGCCAAGCTCAAAAATGGGTGGTGCTGGCATCGGCACGAAGTCTGGAGATATGGTGGCGGCTTTTACTTGTGGGCGTTGTGAGCATCGCACGGTGAAGAGGTTCAGCAAACATGCCTACACAAAGGGTATTGTTATTGTCGAATGCCCCTCCTGCGAGGTTCGACACCTCCTGGCCGACAACCTGGGCTGGTTTGTAGATGAGGCGAAGAACATTGAGGATTTGTTGCGAGAAAAGGGAGAAGCCTTTGTGCGAATTGGGAACGATTACCAAGTTGAACCGCCTGCAGGTGATGAGAGTTGGGACGCGAAAAAGTGATCCTGTTTGCTTTGTTAACTGACCAAATGCAACCGCAAATTGGAAGTCAAGAGAATAGTCATAATAAAAATTACAATGGAGAAAGAAATAATAATAATAATAAAAACATTCCGGGAATGTTTGCTTATCGGTCTTTTTGTTTTCTGTTTTGGTCTCATTAAAGAAATTTGGCTTTGGTCATTGCTCCCTCTATCATTTGTTGTTGTTGTTTTTTTTTTCCGTTGCTTTGCGTTACTTTCATGTTTCTTCCAAGCAATTTATTTATTATTATTGTTTGTTTTTGCCCCTCATCTTTGAGGGGTTTACTAGCTTCTTCTGCAGCGTCGCGAAAAAGCAATAACAATAATACTAAGAGAAGGAGCCGTTGCCAGAGAGGATGAGCTACGAGATTCAGCCCATAGTGAAAGGTACACGACGCGATCCGGCGCCGAAGCGGTACAACAAGGCGGCAGGTAAGAGTCCGTTCGGTGTATTTCCCCCTGGCTACGCGCCAAGAAAGGCGCCCCCTGCCGATGTCACGGAGGCGCGTGAGGAGGAGCCTGTGTCGTTGCGTGGAGTCAAGTTCGCCTATGCGGGCCCAAAAACCGGCTTTGGCGGAGCCACAAGTTCGCTCTATAAGGGCCGTCCAAACAACACCAACTCGGACGCCTTTTCGGCCAACGGTGCGGGTGACAGTAAGCCTCCGAAGGCGGGTGCATTTAAGCGGCGCGTTATTCCCCCGACTGAATTTCGTCGGTATTATGATCGTGGTGACTTGCCGTTAGCTGTGTCACACGGAAGCCGACCCAGCATCGATTGGAAGGTGGAGGTGGAGCGACTGGACTACCACCACTACCTTCCCATCTTCTTTGACGGGATACGTGAGACGGAGGAGCCGTACATGTTTCTCGCCCGTCAGGGATGCTTGGATCTCCTTCAGCGCGGCGGCACCAAGATTCTTCCCACCATTCCGCAGCTTATCATTCCCATCAAGACGGCACTAAACACGCGTCATCCGGAGATTATCTGTGCCACTCTTCGTATTCTGCAGCAGTTGGTGGTCAGCGGCGACCTCATTGGCGAGGCTCTCGTTCCATATTACCGACAGATTCTCCCCATGTTGAACCTGTTTAAAAGCCGCCACAAGAACCGCGCCCGCGGAGACACGATTGATTTTGGTCAGAGGAAGCGCGACGATGTAGGCGACTTGGTGGAGGAGACGCTGCAACTGCTTGAGTTGCACGGCGGCGACGATGCGTACATCAACATCAAGTACATGGTTCCGACCTACGAAAGCTGTGTGTTCAGCTAGCTGCGTTCAGGGCGGCAGGGGGAAATGGAAAATACATAACGAAAAATTATGATCGGAAGACGAAGATGCGGCAAAGTACTGCCGGGCTTCCCGATGGATGTGTTTGCTTTCTTCCGCCAACTTCCCACGTTTTTTCCCCTTTACTGCAATGAAGTTAGAGCAGACCAGCCATTTTGATGTATAATAGCACAGGTAGATGCTGCCTCGGTGTGGGTGCGGCCTCCTTGTAACGCCGTGGGTGCACTCATGGAGGAAACCAAGAGGGACAACTGAGGGGCACCTACATAGACATAGCTGCACACTCACACTCACGCAGACCAAGAAAAAAAAAGAATAAGAAAAGAAAGAAAAAAATGGTTTACTCTGCCAACAATGTACGCTCCGTGTTGGATAGAGGCATTAGGGACCGTTGTGGGTGGGAAAACTTTTTGATGCACCTCTTCTTTCTCCCTGTGCATTTCAATCTGTCCAGTTTGCTTGTCTTAGTACGGTTTTCCTTTCGTTACTCGCATTTCTTTCTTTTTTTTTCTTTTCCCGCTTCCCGCAGCCACCGGGGGCCATGGAAGAGGAAGAGTACTACTATTATGACGACGACTACGGCAATGAGGAGGGGGAGGCGTGGGAGGCGGCGCTGGAAAACGAATACGTGACGGCAAAGTCCATGATGGACACCATGCCAGAGGAATGCGCTGCTGGGCTGCGCGGCGTCGCACGCGATGATCCAGTGGGCGGACGGTGGTCTTTCAAGGCGTTTAAGATGCTTGTCAGGGTCTGCCGACGCATGGGGTCCTATGAGGAGATGCTTAGCTACTACAACAAGGTGTCCACCTTTAGTCACGGTGATGTGAGCAAGGGACAGTTGCAGAAGGCCATGACTAAGCTTGTGGATGAGGCGCAGCGTGTGCCCGTGGAATATTTTCGGCGGATGCTGGAGACGACCATTGAGGTCACCTCAAGGGACATGAGGTCTTTTGGGAAGCTCTGGTTTAGCGCAAAGCTTAAGCATGCGACGCTGGCACTAGAGGCGAATGCTCTGGACGCGGTGCTGGAGGAAATGGGACCAGTAGTGGCGTGGTGTAAGGAGGACGACCAGTTTGCTTTCAAGAAGTCTGCCCAATTATTTCTCGCTTACGCATTATTGCTGAGCGTCTACTCAAAAAAAATGACTACCGACGTGTGCGGGAAACGTTTTCCTTAGTCACCTCCTTTGCGAACACTATTCCTCCATCCCGGGTACTGGGCAATGTGATGGAGTGTGGCGGGAAGATGTATATGCATCTTCGTGACTGGCCCTCTGCATTTCGAGCATTTTCTGAAGCCTTTCTGCACTACAACGAGTTTGGTGACCCTCGCAAAACGGCCTGCCTTAAGTACCTTGTGTTTGCGCGCATGCTGGGCGGCTCCACCATCGACCCGTTTGCCAGACGTGAAACAAAGGTGTACGAGGACTTGCCTGAAATTGTGCCGGTTGCAATGCTTATGAGGTCATTTGCGGCGAATGACGTTCGCGAGTTTGTCGAAGTTATGAAGCTTCACCGGGCCTCTTTTGAGGCGGATGCCGTGCTGAAGACTTGCCTAGACCAGGTGCTAGAGCAGCTCCGCCTGCAGGCCCTTGTCGCGTACGTGGAGCCGTACGAGCGTCTCTACACGCAGCGTCTGAAGGAGGTGTTGCTTGTGGACGCGGACGAGGTCGAGCGGCTCTGCGTCAGGGCGGTGGTGGAGGGTAAAGTGAACGCCGCCCTGGACGATGCGGAGCACGTCCTTGTCATGCAACGGGAGCGGCTGACAGAACCGGAGGCGGAGCAGCTTGAGGCGCTGACTCGCTGGTCCACGACGCTGCTTGAACTCAGCAAAGACACACGGCAGAGGCTGGAGCGCAGCATGTGAGTGCCGTCACCCTCGAGCACGCCCCAGCGACACCTTACCCTTGCTCGCTCTTCCTCCTCCCTCTGTGAGCGTGTATGTGTGTGGTGTCTTTTTTTTTGCCTCTACACTTCACTTGCTGCCACGTTCTAGTGTGCAAGCCTCACAACGACAAGAAAAGTTTGTTGTCCTGAGGTGCATGTATGTATATACCTATTTATACGTTGGCTCCTTCTCATCCCATCTCTCTCCATTCTTTTTCTTGCTTGCTTTAAAAAAAATTAGTGTGTGTGTGTGTGTGTGCACGTCTTCCTCTCCGCCTTGCCAGTGGTCGCTGTTAGTGCTTCTGTCTGCGTTTGCTTTGCAGGGATGTCTGTCCTGCGCTCTTCGTTTATCGCCGTTCTCCTGCTGCAGCAGCTGGCGCTTCTTGCGGGCGCCGAGGAGCCCATCGAGCACGTCAGCCTTATCCACCGCCACGGTGCGAGGGAGGAGCCGCCTCTCACCCACAGGGGCCTTGCCGATGTCGCACAGTTGACGCCGAGTGGTGGGGCAATGATGCAAAACCTTGGCAAACTGCTGCGAGCGACGTACGGCGCCTTCGTCGCGTCCTACGACCCGGCTGCGTATGATGCCCTCTCCGAGGATGCTAATAGCTGCATCCAATCGGCGCACGGGGTACTACAAGGCCTCTTCAACCCGGCCTCTCCGCTTCTTCCTATTGTGAAGTACACACCTGTGGAGGCGGATTGGCTTCTGGGATTCAACCACAACTTCCCAAATGTGTATGCTCGTCCTCAGTGGTTTTTTGCGTACCGCAATAACGATACGCTGGCGCGGGCGATGTTACATACGGTCGACCTTCAAACGCTTTCGAATGAGTTCGGCACCTGGTGCATGGAAACGCCTATGCGGTGCGCCCTTTTCGCCGCGGACGCTCTTCAGTCGAGGATTACTGCAGGGAACGTGTCCACACAACTTCAGGCACTCTTTAAGGATAAGCTTTTGCCCTTGCTGCGTGGTGACCATAAGCACAGGTATGGATTCCACCCTACGGATACTTATGCCGTCGTGGGAGCTCCAGCCTACAGCCTGACAGCGAAGGTGCTGAAGGACGCGGCGACAGGTGATAAAAAAGTTTACCAATACTCTGTTCACGACTCTGCCCTAGTGGGCGTGCTTGACGTCCTTGGCGGAGTTCAGCTGGAGGACATGGACCCCAAGTGGGTTCCGCGCTTCGGCGCCGTGTTGGCGGTGACTGCCTACCGCAACGGAAACGTTTCCTTCGCCTTCGCCGAGCCCGAGCAGGAGGCGGGATCCAGTCTGGACTACGTTGCGGGTTTATTGCCCATCACGGTGCGTTGCCAAACGGCTGAGGGGGCAGACTATGCGGCAGCCACGTGCCCACTGGATGATGTTTGGCGTCACGTGAACCGCTCAATGCCGACTGTGGCCCACCCCTTCTGTTACCTTCGTCCGGAGGACAAGTGTGACGGGCTTGACGTCGTGCCTAGCGCACACTGCCAGTACTACCGCAAACACTGCCCAAGCGGGGTTTGTGGACCCGGCGCGGAACTGGATCCCTCGCGGAACTACACCTGTGTTTCCTTTTCCAAACGAAAACACATGAAAAACTACCTTCTTGTGTCTATTCTTGCCAGCGGGGTTGGCGCAGTCGCAGGCGTAGCCATTGGTGCTCTTATTGCTCTCTTGCTTCGAAGAACAGAAGCGAAGGAGGAGCAGCGGCGGCTTGTGTTAAATGCCGAAGCTGGCGAGGCTACTGCTAGTTAGTATGCGCATGTACATGGGCTAACGAAGTACTTTTCCATGTCTGTGACTTCCCTCCCTCCCTTCCTCCCTCCCTCCTGCCACGGGAAATTGCACCACTGCGAGGGTTATTATGGATGACCGGTATTGTTGTGATTGTTGCTGTTTTTTTGTTTTGGTTTTTGGTAGTTATTGAAGTTTGCTCCGATGCACAGCGGCGTGTTGTTCCCCCGCGTATTTTTTTTCGTTTTTTTTTGTTTTCTTTCTTTGCCTCGTTGGCCTCCTCCGACGCTTCGTGTTGCCGCGGCCCCTGAGCGCTGTCAGTGTTCTCACTTCCACAGCCCGAAGCGGCGTTGTGGACACGCGCTGTGGGCAAGGCCGACGCGACGCGGCGGTGGAGACGTGGCACAGAACAGGAGCAACGGCGACACGGAGGGCAAAACAAGAGGTAAACCATCTAAGAAAGAAATAGAGCGGAGAAGTATAGAGGGGGAAGAACAATAAAAGTGAGTGTAACTTGAGCTTCTCCACAATGAGGTCAAGACAGCCCAAGAGGAACCACATCAACATGCACGACATCATCGCCGCGCCGCTTGGCGCCCTGCCTGGCGCCGTTGACGCCATTCTGCGACGCCCAGAGGAGCTGGACGATGTCGAGGTTCAGAGCATCTTCAAGGAGGCCTCTTTCATTCTTCTTCGGGCAGAGGAGGCGCTGGCATCGCGGGACCCGGATGCGTTTTGTGTGCTTTTCAAGCTCTTCTCGGAGGGATTCGCTCACGATGAGAGTTCCTTTGGAAAAGGCATAGAAACGTTTGGAGAAAATGCTGCGCTTCTGCAAACCCTGCGTGACATTTTTCGCGTGGCGGTGGAGCAGCGGGTGTTCTCTACGCAAAGCCTCGCCGTTGTCGAACTCGTGCAAGTAGTGGGGAGCCTCTGCGATGGCAGTGCCATTAAGGATGTCTGTGGTGCGCTCTTCATGGAGGGACTCGCGTACATGCTGGATGACATGTACCGTCGCAGCGTCGAGGAGGCCCATGCGAGTTTTTTGGCGCAGCGTGCCGCAGCAACGGCCCTCATTAATTTGGTGAAGGGCTCCAAGCAGAATAAGCAGCGAATTGGGTCGTGGAACTTCTTGGCGGACTGCTGTGCGCTGAGTGTGGACGTCTTCTTCCAACTGCAGTGCATCGAGCTCTTGTTTCGTCTCTCGCGCCATAACAAGTCCCTGCTGACGCAAATTTGCAGCCGTCTCCGCCCGCGTGTGTTGGAGAATATCCGCCAGTTGCCGAACGACTCAACGCTGCTGGCAAAGATGGTGGAGCTGCTGCACGACATCAACGAAGCGAGGGAGGACATCTTGTCATTTCCGGTGAACCGGGTCGACGTGGCCCACACGACGATCATGGAGAACACTTTGTCGTACTTCACGATGAACTACTTTGTTGTGCTGGTGACATCAAGCAACGCCGACAACGTCACGATCCCCTACCGCTCGATTCGGTCGGTAACGCTCGGCAAGGATGGCCGGGTTGTCTTTCGCCTGGAGGAGTTTCCGACGAAGCTCGGGGCGCTGTTGAGCCGTGCGGCGGGCGAGGACACCATTGTGCTTTTCATGACTGTGGAGCAGCTCTCCCTCTTCAAGGAGTCCCGCATACGTTCGTGGATCGTGTCCGCGTTGGAGTCCAGGAAGGGACGCAAGCGAAGCAGCACCCACGCCGCGAACGGGGCCGCGGCCGCGACGCCCCCGGCCTCGCACGACGCCCCCACGGAGGAAACTGCGAAGCGGCACCGGGCGGATTCGCTGCAGCTGACGGGCGGCGACTCACATGTGTTAGCCGTCTTCCAAAAGATTATCAAGGCGTCCGACGATGACGCGAGTGCTGTGCTTGAAAAAATGAAGCAACTTATCAGCAGTAAAAATGAGTCGAGACACCAGGAGGTTGCGGCCATTCTCGATGCCTCGATGAAAGAAATTCAGCGGATGGTGGATGAGGGGCATGTGGCCACCGATGGCGTCCGTGCAAATATTAGGGAGGACGTGGAAGGGAGCATCCAGGGCATAGAGCACCGACTTTTGACTTCCCAAGCAAAAGCCGCAGAGGTCGTCGAGAAGCTGAACCTCGCACTTCAAGAACTCAAGGCCAGCAATACGGCCATTCATGAGCAGATAGCGTGCATAGAGATTACGTTACAACAGTCACTGGAGGTTAGCCGCGAGGAGGAGGCGAATGTGTGCAAGCTGCTGAAGACCGAGGGCGAGGAAAACACTGAACAAATTGAGACCCTTCTTGACCGACAACTTATGGGGCAATCAGACCCAATGAACGTGATATCTGAGTTTCTTAGAACCAGTGCCGCCGGAAGTGTCTTTTAGTGTGCATGCCACTTTTGTAGTTTTCCTTCTTTATAGTTTTGTCCCCACCCCCTTCTTTTTGTTTTTGTTTTTTTTTGTTTTATTTTATTCGTTTTTTTTTGTATTTGTTGTTCTTTTGACGACGTGCCGTTGCTGTTCCTCCTCCCTCCGCGTTGCCTCCCATTTTGTTCTGGATGCGGCCGTTGTTGCACCTCACTGGGGAATCTTTGCTCCGCTGCTCATTTTTTTTTCTTGTTGTTGTTGTTGCTGCTGTTTGCGCCTCCCCCTCCCTCGCCGTGCCATGCGCTGCAGTGCGCGAGGCGGTTTGTACGTCATTGCCGATGTCGTGGGTGGCGGATTCCGCGGGGGCGCAGTTTCCACTGGCGACGGTGATGAAGCAGCAGGGCGCCCTCCCCGCCTCTCCGCTGTTTACCACCCTCCCGGAGAAGCGTGTGCTGCGGGTCTTTCAGCTCGGCGCGCTGCAGACGCAGGCGGAGTTAGTAGATTATTTGCGCAGCAGCTTGTTCGAGATATTTGACTTGGATGCGCTGCAGTCCTACCGCTACGCGCATCAGGAGGAGCTGGTCTTTGTGCTCGACGTCATCCTGTACTGGGGCTCCACGTGGAGATGGGCGCAGTCCGTAGGTGATCGCATGGGGAACCTCGTCTTGCGGGATGAGAGGAAGGCGCGGGCAAGCGGGCAATCCTCCGTGGTGCGGATTGTGCCTGCGCTGGCCCCGACGCGTGGCCGACTGCTTCTTCACGCCATACTGACTGTCTGCCTGCCATACCTGGTGCGGAAACTGCAGCGAAAGGCTCTGGAGGAAGACTGGGAGCGCGGCAGCGCAGGCTCCTTGAAGGCCAAGATGGCGAAGGCTGTTCGACTAGCGTGCACGGTATGGGCAGCTTTTTCTCTGCTCCACACGTTGCACTTTCTTGCCACGGCGCAATACCGCACCCTTGTAGAGCGTCTGCTTTCGCTCCGGCTGGTTTATGGCAGTCAAAGCATGCAGCGGGTGACAAACATGATGTATCTGAATCAACATGTCATGTGGCAAACCTGTTCCTCCTTGCTAGCAGTGCTGAACATTGGCCGGTACTTCAGTCGATTGTCGCGCTCTTTGCGGGCCTTTACCTCACCGACGGGGGGCTCAGGCTTAAGCGACAATGTCTGCTGCGCCTGCCATGGCCACCCGACCATCGGGCAGCGTTCAAACTGTGGCCACCTCTACTGCTACTACTGCATCAAAAGCAGACTGCTGGACCCCAGGCTTGCGGGCTCCTTTCGTTGTCTCCGCTGCGGGACCGCCGTGCACGCGGCGATGCCCTTGCAGTGAGCGCGAACCACCGCGAACAACCCAAAATCACACGCGTGGGGTGTGCTTCGGCGGCGAAGCAAAAGTGAAAAAGAAAAAAGAAACTTGAACAGGATCCACTAGGAAGAAGCTGACGGGCAAGAGGAGCGAGTTGGAAACGACGAAAAAAAAAACTATGCAGAAAAGCGATAAGGCCGTAAAAAGAAAAAAAAATGGATT